ATGCCTAAGGAGGTATCTGTTCACTTACAGCTATAGAAAATGAATAATCAGAGAACAAGCCAGCACACGATCAAGAACAGCACGACTAGTTCTCCAAAAATCTAGGGTTATTTCATGTTTTGAGTAGAAAGGAACCATAGAGGGCGGAGCCAAGATGGCGGAGTGAAAGCAGTGACTTGCTTGAGCTCTCCTCCAAACCCCTCCAAATACTCATAAAAAATGGCTCTAAACAAATTCTAAAGCAGAAGAACCCACAAAAAGACAGAGTGAAACAAATTTCCAGCCCAAGACAACCTGCATGATCAATCAGAAAGTGTATCATGATGGGCTGGGAGTGCAAACACAGCGTGGGGTGGGCACACAGGCCACAGTGAACCTGGAGCAGGCCTCAGAGGACTGAATCTCGGGCAGCTGCAGAGGTTTCCAGACTCCTCAATCCACCAATGCCAAAGACAACTTAGAAGGTCAGTGGGAAAAGTCTGTTTCTGTTGGTGCTGAGAAAGGAAGGTGGGGTTTCACCTCCATTCCCCAAGAGCATGGCCCTGGGGAGGAGGGGGCAGCTGCTTCCTGAGCTTCTGGTCCACAGACTGAGGGGGAATCCAGTGGCTGATCAGAGAGGGATTGCAGGGATCTCTTTGCCAGTGCTGAGGCAGGAATCTCTTGCTTTGCCCGTGTCTGGATCTGGGCCACAGTTCTGGGCCCAGGTGGGGTGAGGAGGAACGCTGGCGTGGTGGAGCTTGGAGTGGCTGTGGAGAGGAACCCCTCCTCATAGTTACGGGACAGAAAGGAGTACTTGTAGTCGCAGGCCAAGAAAGGAGTAAACACCTCACCCCTTATCATACCACCTTGCAAGAACTGAAAATTTACAGGCCCCCTACAAGTATCTCTGAAAACAGCTGTACAAACCCCTGAAGCTTGGGACAGTACATTCTTCACATTAGAAGCAGATTCGTACCTTAACAAAGAGTTTAAACCTCAAGTAACTGGCTGGAATCATGAGCAAGCAACGCAAAAAGAGTCAGACTATATTATCTTACTTTGGTGACAAAGATCAAAATATACAACCAGAAGAAGACAACAAAGTCAAAGCTCCTACATCCAAAGCCTCCAAGAAAAATATGAATCAGTCCCAGGCCTTGGAAGAGCTCAAAAGGGATCTTGAAAAGCAAATAAGGGAAGGAGAGGAAAAACTGAGAGTGATGCAAGAAAATCACGAAAAACAAGTCAACAGCTTGCTAAAGGAGACCCAAAAAATACTGAAGAAAATAACACCTTAAAAAATAGCTGAACCCAAATGGCAAAAGAGGTCCCAAAAAGCCAATGAGGAGAAGAATGCCTTAAAAAACAGAATTGGCCAAATGGAAAAGGAAGTCCAAAAGTTCACTGAAGAAAATACTTCCTTAAAAATTAGAATGGAGCAAATGGAAGCTAGTGACTTTATGAGAAATGAAGACATTGTAAAACAAAACCAAAAGAATGAAAAAATAGAAAACAATGTGAAATATCTCATTGGAAAAACAACTGACCTGGAAAATAGATCCAAGAGAGAGAATTTAAAAATTACTGGACTACCTGAAAGCCATGATCAAAAAGAGAGCCTAGACATCATCTTTCAAGAAATTATCAAGGAAAACTGCCCTGATCTATTAGAGCCAGAGGGCAAAATAGAAATTGAAAGAATCCACAGATCTCCTCCTGAAAGAGATCCCCAAAGGAAAACTCCTAGGAATATTGTAGCCAAATTCCAGAGTTCCCAGGTCAAGGAAAAATTACAAGCTGCCAGAAGGAAACAACTCAAGTACTGTGGAAACACAATCAGGATAACACAAGATTTGGCAGTTTCTACATTAAAGGACCACAGGGCATGGAATATAATATTCCAGAGGGCAAAGGAGATAGGATTACAACCAAGAATCACCTACCCAGCAAAACTGAGTATAATCCTTCAGGAAGAAAAAAACGGTCATTCAGTGAAATAGAGGACTTTCAGAGCTGAATAGAAAATTTTGACTTTCAAATACAGGACTCAAGTGGAACATGAAGAGGTAAACAGGAAAGAGAAATCATAAGAGACTTATTAAGATTGAACTGTTTACATTCCTGCATGGAAAATGATATTTATAACTCATGAGACCTTTGTCAGTAGGGTAGTTGGAGGAAAAAAATTATACATATGTATATGTAGATAGATAGAGGGCACAGGGTGAGCTAAAGATTATATCTGGAGAATAAAGTTAAGGGATGAGAGAGAATTATACTCAGAGAAGAAGAAAGGGAGAGGTAGAATGGGATAAATTATCTCACAAAAAAAAAAACCAGAAAGAAAAGTCTCTTACAGTGGAGGGGAAATGGGGGAAGGTGAGAGGGAATGAGTGAATCTTATTCTCATAGGATTTGGCTTAAGGAGGAATAACATACACATTCAATTGGGTATGGAAATCTGTTTACCCTACAGGAAAAGGGAGAAGGGACAAGAGAGCAGGGATGATAGAGAGGAGGCAGATTGGGAAAGGGGTAATCAGAAGTAATACTTCTGAGGGACAGGGTCAAAAGAAAGAATAGAATAAATGGAGGCAGGATAGGATTAAGGAATAAGTTAGTTTTTCACAACATCTACTATGGAAGTGTTTTGCATAACTGTACATGTACAACCTATACTGAGTTGCTTGCCTTTTCAATGAGGGTGGGTGGAGAGGGAGGAAGACAGAAAATTTGAAACCTAAAGTTTTAAAAATGTATGTTTAAAAAAATGTTTTCACATGCTACTGGGAAATAAGAAATACAGGAAATGGGGTATAGAAGTCTATCCTGCCCTACAGGAAAATAGAAGGGGAAGGGGATAAGAGGAGGGGAGAGAGATAGAAGAGAGGACAGACTAGGGGAAGGGATATTCAGAATGCATGCCATCTTGGGGGGGGAGGGGGAGATGGGGTGAAAATTTGGAACTCAAAATCTTGTGGAAGTGAATGTTGAAAACTAAAAATAAATAAATTTATATTAAAAAAAAGGAATTCTAGAACTACACCTACTTATTTGCTAAAGGTCATGCCAGTCGTTAATGATAAAACCTGAACTAGATCTGAAAACTCCTAACTCATATGGACAAACCACTGGACTTTGAAGCAGGAAACCTGGGTTCAAATCCTCCCTCAGACAATAGCTTGCTGTGTGAACCTGGTCGAGTCACTTAATTTCTCTCAGCCTTTGTTTTCCTTACAGCCTTGTTGTGAGGAGCAAATAGCATGGGAAGCGCTTTGTAAATTTTAAAGTGCTGTATAAATACTATTCCTCCTCTTTTCATCTCTGTATTTTCTAGGCATTCACAAAAGGAACATTGTGGCCTGCTTGATGAATACCTTTCACTATAGATATAGCCTATCTGATGTTGTTAACTGCTTTCCCCAAACACAGAGGGCAGCATGAAGGCACCATATGTCTGGGGCGGTGGGAGAGGAAACTGAGGCAGGGGTGCAGGATGGGAGATCAAAATGCACCAAAAATTAATCTTTTCTACTTTCTCAATATTGCCAAGTATCCTTAGAGCTGACACCCCCTCAGGTGTAACAGTGGCGCCCCAGAAGGGACAGTGAGGCAGGCTTAGTTGGAGGGCTGAGGAGGGCTCTTCAGGAAGAAGGGAAGAAGAGGCAGAAAGGCCTGTAGAACTGGAGGGGCAGAGCCTTGGGGACAGAAGTATTCAAAAGCCAAGTGCGACTGCCTTTAGCAGAGCTTCTGGAGTGGTACATGATGGGCAGACCTAGGAATATTCAGCTGCCTGAAAGTGCTTTGCAAATATTACCTCCTGTGGTCCTTAAAACTCTTTGAGGCTGAAGAATTAGTCATTCTCCAAAAGCAGGAAGGGGGATTGGGGGTGGAATTCAGCTCACTGGGTGAAGATGGTACACAAGGGGCTCTCTCCTTACTGTAGAATTTGATTGAAAAAAAAAAGTTAACAAAATTCTAATAGGTAAAGTCACAAAGACCTGAGTTCAAATGTGGCTTCAGACACTTTCTAGTTGAGAGACCCTGGGCAAGTCCCTTCACCTCTGCCTCATTTCCAAAACTATAAAAAGGGAATTATAGTAACACCTAGCTCCAGGGCTGCTGTTATGAAAATCAAATGAGACACAATTTGTAAAGTCCTCAGCACAGTTCCTGGCACATAGTAGGCACTTAATGAATGCTTGTTTCCTTCCTTCCTAAAATGGCATCAGTCAGGGTAATAATCTAGATGCAAGATATGCTTTTTACTTTCTTATTCTGGCAACATCCAAAATGGTTAACTGTAAGAAAAGTCAAATATTGTATGAAAAAAAAGATAACTACTAGAAACCATATTTTCTCAAAATTGAATCCTGTATCAATTATAATGAGTAAACGTGGCTCTAAAAAGTTAAGAAAATACAGCCACCTTTCATTTCATTGCAGAGACAGGGAACTGAGTGTGGCATGTTGCATGGATATGGTTGGTTGGACATACTTTCCCTCCACTTTTTAAAAAAATTTGTTGTTGCAAAGAATGGCTCAGTGGATGGGGGGAGGGACATATTTGAAAATGAATGGGATGTAGGAAAAAAAGGTGTCAATAAAAAAGATTAAAAAATATGTTCTCTCTCATTTAAATGCACAAACAGGGCTTACATTCCTAAAATCTAGCCACTGCTCAGACTCTTAAAAATCTAGCCACCGCTCAGATTCTTATAATCTAACCAATAGCTTACTAATGCTCAGACCCCTTAAGAATCTGCCCAATATGAGAAATGTCCTAATAAACCTTGTCTTTGGCTGAAAAAAAAATGCACAGATAACCCAGTAAACGTAATCCTATATATAACTCAGTAAAGGTTTCATCCTTTGGAAAATGCAAATTATGCATTTCATGGCACAAAAGACAACCAAAGAACTGATTTCACACCTGCACAGTGTGGAAAGCGCTACTGATCAAACACTGTCCCTTTAGATCATACTTGATCACATAAACACCATCAAATGAACTTTGAAAATAAGGAATAACAAGTTATTTTATGGGTTTAATTATCATTCATTCAGGTATGAGTCAGTAGTTGCTAACAAAATTAAAAATAATCTTAATTCAAAACACTATTATTACTGAATAGTGCCCACTTTATAAAACAAGCTGTAATCCACCATCAACAATCAGAACATGTCCTGTAATATAAGGAGATTCTAGAAGAAAAACAACAGCCTGTGCTACGTCACTAGGTTCTCCAAATCTCCCAAGCGGAATATTTTTCTTTAACTGTTCTTCTTTCATCCCTTTTGTCATATCTGTGTGGATAAGTCCTTTAAAACAAAAAAAAGAAAGAAATGTTTGTGTTATTTAGTTGAATTGTGTCTACTAAGATATGAATTTAAATTGTACTTAATGAAAATTAATTAGTTCCATATTAGAGAAGTTCAGGAAACCCACAGATTTACATGCTACAAAATAAGCCTATGTCTTTATGACAGCAACAGAATCAGACATGACAAAGATTTGGTGGGCTAACTTGATGCAATTCTTTCGATGCCATAAAAGAAAAAAAAAATCTTCTGATCATAACTGGTTGTGATGTTGTTTGTCTCAACATGGAGAGTTAAAAGTTCATAATGAAGTAACTTAATGAATTAGACAAAACAGTTTCCAAAAACACACGTTCTGAACTGAAGCATCAACTAAAGCAATAATTGTAACTTGACGCACTGCACAACCTAATCTGAACAAAAATGCATACTATGAAAAAGAACAGACTCCAGGAAAGTAAATCTTTATGCAGAACAAAGCTCAGTCTTTATTTAAATAGATTTTAAATACTCATTCCACAGATACATGATTATATCTAAAAAAGAAATCAGAAAGCAGTAAGGATCTTATAAAATTAGAATGGGCCTTTACATATGGGAACACTAAATAATTCTTAACAAAATGACTTCATTTCTTTTTGTTGTTGTTGTTTTGTTGTGTTTGTACTTTGTTCTCTAAGAAGCCCATGACATCAAGCAGATGATGACGACTTGCAACTGACTTTGCTTTTAGTGAGGGAGGGCTGTGCAAGGTCACCAGCTTTACTTTCTCCTCCAGAGTCATCTGGGTCCAGTGGCCAGATATTCATCAGGACAACTGGAACTGGCCCAGGATGCAATGGGAGACCCTGAGTGAGGCAACGCCCATTCAGTGAATAGGCCTCTTTAAGAAGTGAGTCAAGGGATGGCCCTTTTAATAAAACAAACAAACAAACAAAAAAACTGGGAGAGGAAGACCCTCAGCTACTTTCCTAATCAAATCCCATGTTTTGTCTTTTTCTTTTCTTTGTTTTGGTCATTAGGCAATGGGGTTAAGTGACTTGCCCATGGTCACACAGCTAGTAAGTGTTATGTGTCTGAGGCCAAATTTGAACTCAGGTCCTCCTGAATCCAGAGCCGGTGGTCTATCCACTGAGCCACCTGGCTGCCCCTCAAATCCCATGTTTTGTACAGAACTTCTTGGTACTCAGCAATATTAGTATTATAAAATATGCAACAAATATTAGGGAACGATCTCCAGAGAACCCACTAACCTCCTGAGATCATAGAAGATGTTCTTAGAGTAGCAGAGAAAAGCATATAATGGATTTATAATTAGTCAATTTTTAGTAAATAATAATTCACGTTCATATCGATTTCCCCAAAATTTCAAAAAACAATAATACAGTTAATTTATAACAGCCAATAATCCACAATCACTCATTTGTCTGAAGTGTAATATTATATATGACTTTGGGTAAATTTTTTTTGTTGATTCTATTTTGTCTAATCTAATCCTAAAATCAGCTTGATTTCAGAAGTACACATAAACCTTCCTGTTTAGGATAATGCAATGAAGGCAGTACCAAGATGGTAGCAATGCATCTACTGAATGAGCTCACTTATAAAGACTAATCATTCTGACCCATTACTCACTAAATAATATACATTCGGATTAACCCAATAGAAACATATATAAAAATTAGGGAACTCTACCCCACAAACACAACATTTCAAATAATCTCTTATGGCCTACCAGTTTAACAACTAAAATGCTATCCTGAGTACTAGTTTCACTCTTCAATCTTAAACCTTTAAGGAATGGTTGAATTCCTTAATTCCTACAGGAAAAGTAGTACAAGTCTATTCCCTCATACTAATCTAATCAGTGGGTAAAACAATAGCTGTCCTATACATCTGATACACTCAATATCAACTATCTTTAGTAGTTGAGAACAAAATATTTTTGACTAAGTGACACAATTACACTGAAATATCAACTTCCATCAAAAGTTTAATCTTTTACCAATCTTTGTATACTTCCTAATAAGCCATAAAAAGGACTTTTTATAAGTTATATTATCTTTACAGTCATCAATACAGTACAGTCAATACAGAAGAATAAGCATTTTAAAAAGAAAGTATTAGTAGAAAAAAGAAAGAAACTGAGAGGTCTAATAAAAAAAAAATCAGTAGGGCAGCTAGGTGGCACAGTGGATACAGCACCGACCCTGGATTCAGGAGAACCTGAGTTCAAATCTGGCCTCAGACACATAACACTTACTAGCCGTGTGACCCTGGGCAAGTCACTTAACCCCACTGCCTTACCAACAAAAAAAAAAATCAGATGTCCAGTACCTGGAAAACTGAGAGCAGACAAAAATCAAGACAAAAACAAAAGAACCTATATATTTTCATGCCATAAAAATAAATCTGAAGGAGACTCTATTTATCAGCATCACTTCCTAGAAACATAGAACATTCCTCCAAAGATTAAAAAAAAATGACTGAAAGAAAAAAGGTACAAGGTATTTTTCTTCCCATTACCATTTGTGTGTGTGTGTGTGTGTGTGTGTGTGTGTGTGTGTGTGTGATATCCATAAAACTTACACTGACCTGGGGCAATGACATTCACTCGAATTTTCTTTCTTGCTACTTCTTTAGCAAGAGAACGAGAGAAACCAACTAATCCTCCTTTGCTAGCACTGTAAACACATTGGCCAGGATTTCCTTTTAAACCAACAACACTTCCTGCACAAACAGAAAGAAAATATTTTTTAAAAATTAATGATTCATTTGTCAATTCAGTTAACCTACAAGTGGAAAACTTCAGAATTTTTAGAGTATCTTTAACATTTAGAAATCCTAATACTTTTCCCATTAGGAATAGTATTAACTGAGAGTCCAATTCAGCTCTAAAGTAAATATTGGCAGCTCTATTGGGCCAATACTTTACTTGCTAAGCTCATGTTTACTCTCATGGTTTCACTTATTAGCTGACTGCAAGGACAACAGAGACCACAAAGCTACAGCTGACAGTAAACGACTTCCATGGAGACAGAGGTTGACAAAAAGATAGCTCTGCCTTTTAGCAGAACCTAAGGGAATAACTGGCCAATCACTTTAAGCCAAATACTATTAGCTCTCTTGTTAAGTCTCTCAGTATGCTGGAATGGAAAAAGCACTGCCTTGGAGGGGGAGGATGTTAACAACCTTAAGCAAGCTACTTAACTTTCTAGGTCTCAGTGTGTCTTCATCTGTAAAATGAAGGATTGAATCAGATGACCCTAAGGTCTTTCCCAGTTCTATGTCTATGGCCCTACAATCCTTGAGGCCAAAAAAGGAGAAATGTGGGAAAATATGAGAAAACAATTAGTTGAACTGAAGGACAATAAAAATAAAAGAACCAAAGAGTAGTGTTTTAATGAATCAGTATCAACCAAGAAGGAACTACGTAACCGCTCTTCCTATGTCCTAGACCTGTCCTATTTAAGATTGAACAGGTGGGAGGAATAGATAATAAACTGGGCAACATAATCAAGTTCTAAAATATCTGCAAAGAACAAAGCTCCAAACCTAATAAGACGAAATTTAATACACAGAAATATTAAAGTCTTACACTTAGGTTCAAAAACATCAGCTATGTAAGTACGTTGCTTAGACAACAGACTGTGTGAAAAAAGACTTGAGAAAAAGTTGCAGTGAATTTTAAGCTTAATGCGGGGCACCAATGTATGGATAATGGAGGTTTGAAAGAAGGAAAAGAACTGGGCTACAGAGATTTGATTCAAAAGGTAAAAGAAGGCTACTCGTAAGTGCTGTCTCTAAGTACAAAGTGCTGACACAATAAAAATTCTAGGAAGGACAGCCTGGGGTAGATAGATGTGAAAGACTGGATGATTAACTAATTGTATGTTCATACTAGCAACTGTCTTGTCATTTTGGTAGCGTAGAAACTTCCTACAAAAACCCATGTTCATATAGCAGTGTTACCAGAGGCAAGATTCAAACCCAGGTTTTCTTGACAGGAAGGAAGGAAGGGACAATAGATTTATTAAGTATCTATTATGCCAAGCACTTTACAGATACCTCATCTGATACAACAACCCTGGGAGGTCGGTACTATTATCACCCCCATTTTACAGCTGAGAAAAACAAGGCAGACAAGTTAAATGGATCACCAGGATCACATAGGAACTAAGTACTGATGCCAAATTTGAACTCAGATTTCCCTGACTTCAGACCCAGTGCTATCTACTGTTATACCTTTCTTTCTTAATTATAATATTTAATTGTTTAATTAAAATGCCTTTAATTATAAAATTAAAGAAGTTTTAATGCATCTGGAATTCTAGATGTAGAAACTGGCTTATATCAACATAAAAATCTCAGTTTGGATTGGTTAATATGAGTTCATTAAGCTTTTGTTCAGGTTGTTTTGGTCAGATCTGTCATTTCATTAATGTTTGGAACTCCTGGTAAGGAAATTCCCTCTAACAGTGCAGATCAGCAATCCATTTGCAAATTAAAGTCTCAGAGAATGGTTCACGGTGACTGACAGGTTAAATGACAGGCCGATGGTCGCACAGCCAAGACATGTCAAGAGATAGGAAATCTGAATTATATATTTTTAAGAAATGCAGTATATTTTAAGAAGAAGCAATTACTTCCAAGGACCTATTATAACTTGTATTGCCTATCAGGGTCTCCAGATGATCTGGTTTATTTGGATATGAAGGATTTATTTCAACTGTATATATATCTATATAGACAGATCTTTCTAAAGCAAAGGCAGAAAACATGTTTTTCTATCCAGAGTCACTAATCACAGAAAATGGTCCAAGGGCCAAGGAAAAAGGAAACCTAACCTTTATTATTTGACATTTATTCACCTACCACTGATTAGGTGCCTATTATTTAAAGTACTAGTAAATGCTGAAGGAGAGAAAAAGAAAACTAATGAGAAGAAAAAATATAAAATGTCCCAATCACCAAAATCTAATATTAATAGAAAATTTAAAAATTCCATTCAATAAAAACAACAAATTATATTATTTCATTTCTGGCCTATAAGCTCCTTGAGGGAACATACTATATTAATCATTATGTTAATCTTTGTATTCCCCAGTCCCTTATTATACAAATCAGTTGTCTAATAAATATTTGTCCGTGTTTTTGTTTTTGCAAATACTATGCCTAGGACAGGAACTGAGATAGGATATAATAGGAACAGAGTAGGGAGAGATCACAGGATCAGAGATTAGAGCTGCGCTAAGACTTTCGGAACACCTATGAGAAGGGCATTACTATTTTTTTTTACAACTGTCAAGGTAATAGCATTTCAAAGCCCACACATTGTTGGATTTGGGTTATTAATTTGTGTTCATGATATTCCTGCTTGATAACTTGCCCCATACACTAGAAGTTTCTCACTACCATTATAACGTAAAAAAAGGTGCTCTCTGAACAATATTACCTTTTATTTGTATTTTGAAATAGTCTAAAAACGACCTACAAATCTTATACTATTAATTTATCAAACTTCTACTTGCATAAAGAGTACAAAAATGAGCTTTAGGCCTAACTATGTAAAAATTTACTTCAAATCAAAGGGGTGAGGATTCAAACTTTCTTGTAATGTGTGGTATTTCAAAATGAATAAGCCCACCTATATTAACAATAGAGCCTCCCTGTTGTTGAATCATATTCTTCAAAGCAGCTTTACATGTTAGCATGGATCCTAAGAGGTTAGTGTGAAGTTGGGATATCATATCTTCAGTTTTTGTTCTTAGTAATAAGGCATCCCTAAAAAGAACAAGAGACAAAATTTTTCTGTAAAATATGATTCACTCAGGGTTTATAACTCTCAAATAAGAGCTTCCAATGTTGGTCATCTAGATAGTATAGCTAGAACTTGATTACATTACCCTGTAGAGAGAGGAAGAAAAGAGGAAACAAGCTTCTATTAAGTACCTACTATGTGCCATGCACTGTGCTAAGCACTGATGATACAAATAAGAATAAGACAGTCCCTTCTCCCAAGGAGCTTACAATCTAGAGGGGAGATCTACACAAAAGGAAACTGAAAAGGGCAGGGGTGCAAAACACCAGAAGGTACTCAGCTGGGACTGAGGAAAATGATGGTGGAATCAAGTCAGGCAGAGCAGCTGGTAACAAATGAAGAGATGGCTGACACTTTGAGCCCTCTAGAAAGGGAGGCTATTGTTCCACCCTGCAGCCTTCCAATCAGAGGGGCCAAAGCAACTGAGTGTATCAACAGGGTGTGAGTAGCCAAGCTGAAACAATCTCCATGATGATCAGTTTCCTGGTGATGATTATTATTATTATTATCCTGATGATGAGTTTATTCTAGGCAGGGCATGCCGAAGGTGATGGTGGAACAGAAGCCAAACTGAGCAACTGACAACAAATGATCAACATGGATAATCAAAATTTCACTATGTCAACATTCAAAGTTTTGAATTAGATGTACTGTTAATTCAAAATCAAACTTATGTTAAATGTACAAATAACATGTACCAAGCACATATTAGATTCTGAAAGAAATCAAAGACTAACCTGTTTATGCCAGCTGCATTTACCAAAAAATTAACACGACCTAATTTTTTCTCCATCTCTGCAAATGCACTTTGAATGTCTTGCTCTTTAGCAACATCACAGCGAAGAGCCAAGTGATTTCCTACACAAACATAAAGTGACATTTTGAAGATAACATTCTGTAGTTTTGAAGTATTTCAATGTTTTTAAAAGGGAAACTCTTAAAGGTACCACTATCCACGGTCTCTGCTTCATCATAAGGCATATTTTTAAAAGATATGGTACTTTCTGGTAAACTAAGAGATCATTAAAGTTAATTTTATAATCTTAGCTAATTAGACATCTTGGTTCCATTGTACTCAACTTATAACAATTATTATTACTACTTTTATATTCTGTATCATAATATTTTAATGTATAAGCTAGATTTTTCTAAATTTATGTCTAGTTCCACCAAGTGATGCTAAAAGTACTCATTTAGATCCTGGAGGAACCAATTGAGACACTACTCTGCCCTCATGAAACTTATCTTAGCGTTGTTGGTAATAAGCTTGGGGAGAATTTAGGTAAATAATTTACTCAAAAAATTCCAACCAATTAAAAAATTCTCTTTTACATACTAAAAATGGAGTTTAAGGGCAACAAAAATGACTCAACATATCAAAATGTAATAGTTATTTTTGAATTTCCCATACTCAGTTAAAGAATTTAGGACCACCTCCTGTACTTCAGTCCTACGTCTCTAGCCGTTAACCTACCGGACTGAAGTTTCAGCTGGACGTGAGACAAATCTCAAACTTAAAATATCCAAAGCAGAACTCAATGTCTTTCTCCCTCTAAACTCACCCCTCTTCCAGACTTCCCTATTTCTACTGAAGGCATCATCCTTCTTGTGCCACAGCTTTGTGATCAGTATTCTACTCAACTCCTCATTCTCCCTCTTCCCCCGTATTCAGTCTGCTGTCAAATTTTGCTGTTTCTACATCCACAACATCTTTTACATCCAACCCCCTCCTCCTTAATCACATGATCAACACCTTAGTTCAGGCTATTACACCTGTCCCTTGGATTGCTACAACAGCCTAAGTGGTCTCCCTGCCTTGAATCTCTCCCTACTACAGTACATCCTCCACACTATGGCCAAGGTAACTTCCCTTAAGCCCCAAAGATCAGGCCTCTGGTAAGGTGACCCCCAACTCTACTATTCGCATGGCTCCACAGCATCTCTGCAATCAGCAAACTCCTGTGTAATTTCTATAGCCTTTTATAACATGGTCCCAACATATCTTTCCAGCCTTATTGTACATTACTCTTGGGCACTTAAATCCAGCCAAACTGGCTTCTCTCTGTTCTTCACACGTGAGGTTCTCCTCTATCTCTATACTGGCTAGCCCCCATGCCTAGGAGGCCCTCCTTCCTTACCTCACCACCTTCTTCATGAAGCTTTTCCTGATTCCCTCAAACTGCCAGTGCCCTCTCTCCCTAATTACCTATTTATTCTGTATATATTTATCTATGTACTTGCTATCTCCCCATTAGAATGTAGGGGCCTTGAAAAGTAATTGTTTCATTCTTGTCTTTGTATCCCCAGTACTTATAAGACAAAATATAGTAGTCAAAAAATTAACTGACAAAATAAAAAGAAGTCAATTGACTGACTGATTGGACCATTATAGGCCATAGATGCTGCTGGGTACTTGTTTCAAGGCAACGAGTGAATATCTCAAAATATCATTTAATTGAATAAATACTGTTTTATGACTAAGGAAACACATAACAAAAAGCTACAAATTCAGCAATACTTTCAAATGAGTTTGTAGTTTGTTCATTATTCACCACGACGGCATCTACATGTTTTACAGACAGCAATACATACATGTGCAAGAAATAGTATTTATTTAGTCTTACAGAAGGTCTGTTTACTTATTTATTATGCTGAATTGCAGTGACTATTTTGTTGAAAACAAAGGTCAATATGACATTGCCAATCTTTTCATTTAAAGATGAGGAAACTGTGGCTCTGAGATATACCATATTTTGCCCCAAGTCAAAGGTAAAGTTGAGACTAAAGTCCAGTCTTCATCCTCCCCAGTTCCCTGGATCATTCTCTACACCTACTTCTGTGCTCTCTCTCTCTCTCTCCCTCTTGCCACCATATTCTCCCAGGATCCTCTTGCGGCTACCTTCCCTCCACCCACATTCCACATGCCCGCTCTTCACCAATCTTATCTCTCCTTTCCTACCAAAATGTATCTCTTTGGAGAAGCCATCATCTCACTTAGCAGTCAAAATAACTAGATAAACTAAACCCCATTAGTCCATAAACTAGACTGCTCTTGGCTTAATTCATCCTCACTCAAGATGTCAGCATTTTAATTGGGGACAGCGAGGTGGTGCAGTGGATAGAGCATCAAGCCTGGAATCAGGAAGACCTGAGTTCAAATCTAGTCTAAGATACTTACTAGCTGTGTGACCCTGGAGAAGTAATTTTATTCTGTTTGCCTCAGTTTCCTCATCTATCAAATGAGCTGTAGAAGGAAATGGCAAACCACTCCAGTATCTTTGCCAAGAAAATCACAAAAGTGGTGACAAAGAGTAAGACATGATTAAAACAAGCAGACAACAACCACCTAAATATTCAACTAAAGACCAGCTTACCATGGCTTTCTGTCTTTTCTTCTTTTTTACTCTGTTTCTCTCTGCCTCTTTCTTGGTCATGCATATGTCTCTACCTGTTTGTCTATGCCTTTCACTCTCATTTTTTCTTCACTAATCTTTCAAATGTCTTTTGTGTCTGTCTCTATTTAGCCTGGAGGAGAAAAGACTTAAGATGGACATAAGAGCTATCTTCAAGAATCTAAGGGCTGGGGGCAGCTAGGTGGTGCAGTGGATAGACCACTGGCCCTGAAATCAGGAGGACCTGAGTTCAAATCTGATATTAGACCAAACCACTTGACACTTACTAGCTGTGTGACCCTGGGCAAGTCATTTCACTCCAATTGCCTAAAAATTTAAAAAAAAAAAAAGAATCTAAAGGACTGGTCATGGTTGAGAGAGGGAGGGACTGGAGTTGTTTTGCCTGGCTCCAGCAAGCAGAACCAGGAGTAATAATCAGAATCATAACTCACATTTATAAAGAGCTTTACAGCTTACATGCATTATCTCTCCGAGCAACGTGTGGAAGTTTTTGGGAGACAGATTTTGGCTAGAAATAAAGAGGTCTTTTAAGCTTGCTTGGGTTGTTGTAGAGGGGGTTTCTGTTCAGATAGGGGATAAACTGGATTACCTCTGCGGTCCTTGCCAACTTGGAGATTTCCTAGCTCTAGCACACTCTTCCCCCCTCCTGTCTCTTCAGATGGCCACATCGGTCAATAAACACTTCAATACAGCAAACACTAATTTTGTACGCGACATTGAAGTTGACATGACAATACAAAAAGGTCTATACACAAATTTCACCTAGGTTCTCCAAGCTCCAACCACATTGGATTCCTCGGTGTCTTGAAGAAAAGGAAACGAGCACTTTTGTCTATGTGTCAGGCATCATGTTAAGAGCTTTAAAAATATTATTTCATTTGATTCCCACAATCTACCTAGGAGTTAAGTGTTACTGTTACCCCCATTTTACAGTGGGAGAAACTAAGGCAGAGGCTAAGTGACCTGTCTAGGGTCACACTGCTAGTAAGTGTGATTTGACTCAGATCTTTCTGATTCTCTATCCACTGCTTCATCATGTGACTCTAAAAACAACTAGTACTTTTCTGCCATGTTTTGGTCATGCTAATTCCTATATCTAGAATAGATGGCTTCCCTTCCCCCTTAAATTTCTCCCTATTCTTTAAAACCTGATTCAATTGTCCTTATGTAGAAACCACCTTCTACATGAAGTCTTCCATGATTTCCCTCTTTTCTTTATTTAAAAAAAATTACCATTATTATTTTCTACCCTACATTTTCTTTTTCAATTTTTTTAATTTTTCTTGTTACACTTAAAAATTTGAGTTCCAAATTTTCTCTCTCTCTCCCTCACCCTCCCCCCAAAACAGTGAGCAATTTGATATACACTGTACATGTTCAATCATGCAAAAAATTACCATATTCAATATGTTGTGAAAGAAGATACAGACCCAAAGGAAAAAAAAATTAGGAAAAAATACAGAAAGTGAAAAATAGTTTGCTTTTATCTGCATTCTGACTCCATCAGTTCTTTCTTTAGAGGTGGACAGCATTTTTCACCATTAGTCCTTTGGAACTGTCTCAGATCATTGTATTACTGAGAAGAGCTAAGTCATCCACTGTTGATCATCATATGCTATTGCTATATACAATATTCTCTTGGTTCTGCTCACTTTACTTTGCATCAGTTCATATAAGTCTTTCTAGGCTTTTCTGAAATCTGCTTACTCATCATTTTTTATAGCGGGAATATTCCATGACAATCACATATCACAACTTGTTCAGCCATTCCCCAATTGGCAACCACTCAATTTCTAACTTTTTGCCACTACAAAAAGAGCCGCTATAAATATTTTTGTACAAATACGTCCATTCTCTCCCCAGCCCCCCCCCATTTTTAAATCTCTGGGATTCAGACCTATTAGTGGTACTTCTAAAACAAAGGGTATGCACAATTTGACTACCCTTTGGGCATTGTTCCAAATTGCTCTCCAGAATGGTTGGATCAGTTCACAACTCTACCAATAGTGAATTAGGGTCTCAATTTCCCTACATCTCCTCCAACATTTATTATTTTCCTTTTCTGTCATATTAGTCAATGTGGTAAGGGTGAGGTGGTAGCACAGAGGTGTTTTAATTTGCATTTCTTTAATCAATACTGATTTAGAGCATTTTTTCATATGACTATAGATAGCTTTGATTTCTTCATTTGAAAACTGTCTGGTCATATCCTTTGACCACTTATCAATTGGGGAATGACTTGTATTCTTATAAATTTGAATCAGTTCTCTATGTTTTTGAGAAATGAGGCCTTTATCCAAGACACTTGCTATAAAAATTATTTTCTAGCTTTTTGCTTTCCTTCTAATCTTGAGTCCATTGTTTTTGTTTGTGTAAAGCATTTTAAATCAAAATTGTCCATTTTATATCTAGTAATGCTCTCTATTTCACCTGGTCATAAATTCTTCCCTTCTCCATTGATCTGACAGGTAAACTATTCCTTGTTCTCCTAATTTGCTTATGGTATCACACTTTATGTTTTAATCATGCACCCACTTTGATCTTATCTTGGTATATGGTAAACCTAGTTTCTGCCATACCGCTTTCCAGTTTTCCCAGAAGTTTTTGTCAAGTAGTGAGTTACTATCCCCAAAACTGGGGTCTTTGGTTTTATCAAACACTGTATTATTATGGTCATTTACTGCGGAATCTTGTGTACCTAATCTATTCCACTGATCTACCATTCTTATGTCTTAGCTAATACCAGATAGTTTTGATGATTACTGCTTTATAATATAGTCTGAGATCTGCTACAGGTAGGCCACTTTCCTTTACATTTGTTTTCATTAATTCCCTTGATGTTCTTGATCTTTTGTTCTTCCAGATAAATTCTGTTTTTATTTTTTCTAGCTCTACAATTTTTTGGTAGTTTGGTATGGTACAGATCTTGATTTCCCTCTTAAAACTGACACATCATACTATTTTTCATCTCTAATATAATTACCATACATTACAGTGTACCCTATTAATCTTTGGGCCAATTTTATTCCCCTTCTAAACTTTGTGAGGGCAGGGCCTATACAGTAATTACAGTATAATGGAAAGAACTCTGGACTTAAATTCTGGAGATCTGGGGAGGAACCCTGATTCTGATTTTTATTAGCTGTGTGACCTAGAGTAAATCACTCAATCTTTAGGGGCCTCAATTTACATATCTTCTTACTATCTTGCACTATCTTCACATAAGATATATATGTATTGTGAGTAAAGCACCAAAAGTACAAAATGAATTAGCAGTTAAAATCTGAACTTCTCTCGCTATAAATACTCTGTGAATGTTACAATCACAGAATGTAGAGGTACAAGGGTCTGTACAGATTATCTTCAACCAGATGAAAGAGGTCCAGAATAACAGTTAGTAGCAGTCAAGCTATGAACACAGTTCTTACCTCCAAATCTAATTACACTTTCTATTACACTGCCTTGATGAACAGCTAACATGCTGTTATTGACTAGATTTACATTTGAGGAAACTGAGGCAGATAGCAGTTACGTGACTTACCCAGGGTCACCCAGCTAAATGTCTGAAGCAATATTTGAACTCAGGTCTTCCTGACTCAAGGTTCCTGACCCTGTGCATTAGGCCACCTAGCTGCCCCTATTACTACACCAACCTGACTCTCTCAAGTGTTGAAATGGCAAATTGTATCCTCTAAATCAGGGGTAGGGAAACCTTCTGACCTGAGGCCACATGTGGCCTTCTAGGTCCTTTGGTGCAGCCTTCAAAAGGGAATCCAAGCTTTATAGAACAGATCCTTTTATTATGGGGATTTCTTCTGTGAAGTTTGGATTCAGTCAAACTGCCAAATCTGAGGACCTAGAGGGCCACATGTGGCCTCCAGGTCACAGATTTCCCCCCTCCTGCTCTAAATACATCTCCCTCTCCACTCTCTAAACTGTCGCACTGATTTCACAGGAAGGATTCCCCAACAGTGATGAATGTAAGCTCCCTGACCGCACTAGGTGGGTCATTTTTTATTATTTCTATATCCCCAACTCTGAGCACAGTGCCTTCAATTCAAAAAGGACATATCAAACTTACTATATGCCAGGCCCTGTGGTTGGCTCCTAAAATGAGATGATAAAAATGAAAATAATCCCTGCCTTCAAAGGAGCTCAGGATCCAAGCTGAACTGCCTCTGGTGGTCCCTGAGCTGAACTGTGAAGGGAACTAGGGATTCCAAGAATAGATAAGGGGAAAAACACTGCTGGCAGAGAATACAACCTGTGCAAAAGGGTGGAAGCAGGGGAGGGCACATGGCTGAATGAGGTTCACCACTTCCAATGGAAACCCCTCTGGAAAGAAAAGTTGAAGCCCGATTATGAAAAGCTTTAAATGAGAAACAGAAAAATAAGAAAAGTTTGTATTTTATCGTAGAAGCTCTTACGAGCCGCTTGAGTTTCCTGTGCAGAAGAGTGACCTGTGCTTCAGGGGCATCAATTTGGCAGCTGTGTAGGGAAGAAGGAAAAAAAGCTAGATGCTGGGAGACCAACCAGGAAGCTATTATAACAGTCCAGGAAAGAGAAGGTAAGGGTCTGAATCAAGGCAGTTGTGGTCTGGATGGAGGAGACATCTTTCCTGCTCCTTTTTGTGTGTTGTTTCCGTTTTATATTGTAAGCTCCTTGAGGGCCGGGATTGTCTTTCAATTAACTGGATCCCTAGGGCTTAGCACAGTACCTGGCACTTTGTTGGCATTTAATGTTTATTGGATCGAACCCCAGAGATGTTCTGGACAAGACTCGGACTGGTTGTGGGGGAAAGAGGTGAAGAAGAGGGAAGAGAACAGGACCTGTGTCTTGATTGTAATAACGGAAAGAGTTCTGGAATCAAAAGATGAGTCCAAGGGCGCAGGTATGGGAGGAGGGCAGCCTCTTCCAGAAAAAGAGGTATGTTTGTTACAGGAGGTAAATGACCAGCCTACACAGTAGGCGCTTCATTATCACATGGTGCATAAGAAGTCCAGGGCAGGAGGGCGGGGCAGCCTGGGGTCAGAGGTCAGGAGGTGAAGCGCGACCAGTTAGTTGTACGCCCCGCCCTCTCTGCCCTCGGGCGCGTGACCCACGTGCACTCAGCCCCCACCATACCTACCCCCCGAGGTTCCTAGCGGCGGCTTTGGCGACCTCCAAGTCCCTGCTCGCGATTGCCAGCCGGTACCCCTTCTCAGCCATTAACTGGGCCACCGCCTTGCCGATGCCCCGAGAGCCGCCGAAAACGACACCAACCTTCTCCATGGAGGGCTGAGCTGACCAGAACTGAGCCAAACGGAGGGAAGGAGGCAGAGCTCCGGAGCGCTGGGCGGCCCCAGGAGGGAGAGCAGCGAATGAAAAGTCAAAAGCAAGGTCAAGGCCCCACCCTTACGTCAGCGCGATGACGTTGTCTCCGCCGTGCTCCCGCTTCCTACATGCATACGGGCTCGGGTCTAATAAGACTTCTCCAAGGTGGAGAAGGAAGCGGCCCTGCTAGGAGAAAGGGACTGCGCTGCATGCCGGGACATGTAGTCAAGCTGGGGGCGAGAGCGTGGCATGATGGGATGTGTAGTCTTTTATCTGGGGCGGGGCGGGGCGGGGCGGGGCAGGGCATCAATTCTTGTCGTTAGGGAGCTAGAGCCGAGTTTGGAAGCAGTGACCGGAAGCTGCTACTATGAAAGTAAACGTAGGGTTTCCCCATCTTTAGCCTCGCAGGCACTATACTGAGATGACCATGACCTCATTCAGAGGGGAAGAAGTTGTCGCTGCTATCAGTTGTAGAGCACTGGGCACACTCCCTGGCACAGAGAAAACGCTATATATGTCCCCATAATAACTATCATAATCATAGATATCATTATCCAAATTCCACAGCGAATTTGACCTTTTCCCCAAGAATTTGAAGCACCCTTTTCTGAACTTCAGTTTCCTCATCTGTAAAACGAGGATAAAAGTTTTCACCTTTTGAAGAACAAAGTTGCTGTGAGGAAGGCATCTGTAAAACAGCAAACAATATGAATGTGAATTATTTATTTATCTATTTTAACAAGTCATCATCTGCTATGTCAATAATACAGACCAAAAGGGATAAGAACATGCACCAGGATTAAAATAAATGTCCAGAAGTAGAAAGGTCAGGAGTAAGAAACCTGAACTTGTGGCCAGCAGAGATAATGATTCAAATCCTGTCTCTGATGCTTAACTTTAATTTTAACTAAGTGACAAATACATATGAATATTATATATATACACACATGTATATATAGTATTGCATTATATCATGTATATTATATAATAGTACTTATGTGTATTATATAAAAAATACAATAGTACTTATGTGTCTTATATAAAAATACAATAGTACTTATGTCTTAAAGATGTATAATATATAATATATAATGCATATTATATGTATGTCATAATCATATATACATATACTATATTTGTAACTTAATTAAAATTAAAGTTATTAAGTGTCAGAGACAGGATTTGAACCTCTATTTCTGCTGATCGCATATGTACACACATACACATTTGTTGTAGGTGGGACAGTGGATAGAGCACTATGCCTGGAATCAGAAAGATTAGAGTTCAAATTTGACTTCAGACACTCACTAGCCGTGTGAACCTGGGCAAGTCAATCCCTGGCTGCATAAAATTGGAGAAGGAAATGGCAAACTGCTCCAGTATCTTTGCCAAGAAAACTCCATGGACAGTTGGCCCACAGGGTCATGAAGAGTCAGACAACTGAACAACATACATATATACAGACATACATGTGTGTCCATACATACGTACATATACATGTGTGTATAAAAATACCTACCTCTGTAACGTGAGCTAATAGTACTCTCAGGATTGTTGTGAGAAAAGCTTTGAAACCTTAAAGTAGGGATTCTTACCCTTCTTTGTGCCCTGCTTTGGCATTCTTGCAAAAGCTATAGATCCTACTGTCAGAACATTGTACCAAACAAAATACATAGGATTTTGGTTATCTTGTAATGCAGTTTTTATATTTTTTTTTTAAGTTCATAGACCTCCAGGTCAAAAACTCCTGCCTTAAAGAATTATGGAAATATTAGTTATTGTTTTATTTCTTTTCCAAAGGTCCAATTCCTGCTCCCAAGGCATTTACAGCAAGATTAGGAACATATTCTATCTAATGTTTAAGAGAGAATACCAGTTAGAAAGTAAAAGTGCTGAATATGTGTTTCACAGATAACACCATTTGTTGGGTAGGAGAACACAGGAGTGCTCCTAACACTAACAGGTATTCTAGCACAGGTTCACTTTTGGCAACTTCGGAGGATTAAGTAAGCTTACTTTATTCTAGTCTAGTCTTCTCAATAGGGTTGCTGATACTGGGAGCGCCAACTCCTGCAGCATTTCCTGAGCACACTTTTCTCAGGAGCCAGTGAGAATAGGAGTACAACTCCTCATCCCCAAAGCCCCAGTGGGGGCTGGTTGAGGTAAACACAGATTCCGCCCAAGTCTTGATGAGGAGGGCTGACCAAGCAGGTACATTCATTCTTCCATGTATTACCCAAATCCCAAAATGGGGTCCCCCCTCACTGACCAGTGCCCATTTGCTTTATAGGGCAGCAGACAAAGCATCTTGCCAACATTAAGCCCACAAGTTAACTTTAGCAATATCATGATCTAGCACAGCACAAGCATGCATCATGTTATCCCTATATCTCACAATGCAAGCATGGTGGAGATGGTTTCAACCATAATTCGTGGGAAATATCTAGGATCCTAAAACTATTATCTAAAAAGAATAACAAAATCTTTACTCACACTAAAATTCACCTTACTTACAATATACAGTACAGAATAGCAGCAATTTTCTACTCAATAAGTAAGCCCCCATATTCATCATCCTTCAAGCAGGCAATGTTTCATAGAAGTCTTGAATGGGAAAGCTGGGGAAAAGATTTGAGAGGAGGGGAAAGATAAAGAGCCAAGAGTGGAGTGACCTGGAGTATACTGGAAAGAGCACCTGATTTGAAGTCAAAGTGAAACTGGACTTGGGGTCAGGAAGACCTGAATTCAAATCCTTCAAACACTAATTAGGTAAGTCACTTTCCTTTTGTGTAAAACGAGAATAATAAAGCCCCTACCTCACTTTGTTGTTGTAAGGACCAAATGAGATGAACCTGTGTAAAGCACTTTTGCAAACGATGTAAGTGCTGCCTGTTATCATCTGGAGAATTCACATTTTGTGAGAGGATGAACCACCTGGTGATGCAGACCTAACAAATAACATGTGTGTTTCAAACTCTTGAGCTTGGGAAACTCCTGAGCATTGTTTTTCCGAGCATCTAAGAATGTTAGAGCAAAATTTAAAAAATATGTGCTTTAAGCTTTGTAATTCACAAGAGATAATACTAAAAATCACTGTGGTGTAGAACTTAACTTCTTTCCCTTGTTTTTTGAGTCATTTGTAGCTATAGTGGATATGAGATAATCGTTATCCTGTTTATTCTGGAAGAGATGACAACAAAGATGGACAGACCTTGTGGACCCAGCTTTTAGGACATCTTTAGCACACTTAAAACCTCTAACTAGCTGGGCTGCTTCTGCCAATTACCCAGCAAAAACAATAATGGCTCAGATTTATGTATTACTTTTAAGTTTTACAAAACAGTTTCCTCACCTTTTTCTAGAGTAGCTCCCTTCCCCACCCCCTACCTGATCCTCTCCCCGAAATTTACGTAGTTATAGCTGAAGAACATAGTTTTTATGCAATTATTCCATGTGTCTGGGAGGTCATTAACCTAAGATAAGAGGTGACAGTGAAAATCTTTTAGCTTTTGCAATTTTTATCCCTCTGTATATACAGGAAACTGTCGAGTTGGTGCTTTTCTTAGTCCCATAATCTGGTGAAAACCCTAAGGTTATTATTATTCATTCCTTTCCTCTCACCCTATCCAGGTTACTGCCCTAACTGAAGATACACTCTTCACACCCTATCAGCCATTATCTCTATATTAGTTGGAAGAAAAACTGACATGGGAAGCTTCTCACTAGTCCCTTGAAAATTAAGTGAAAACTCTGTAAATTAAAAAGGGTCCACTGTGTATAGCAGTATAGCTGAGTAAGCAACCAGGATGAACCTTCCTTAGCCTTCTTTCCTCACCCTAAATGTCACTTTTGTAACAGGATTCTCATCACTAAATCGTCTTCCCCTCTCTTTTTTTTTTTTAATTTAAACCTAAAGCAGGAAATTCTTTGTTATGTGGGATGACTTTCTTGGAGGTGTTGGGGAAAGGGATATAGGGAGGAAATTAGGTGATGTAAAAACAAGAGACCAAAATTAAAAAAACAAAAAACACTAAAGCAGTAAATTGTCTTACTTTAGAAAAGTTTCTTTTGTGAGAAAAAGGTTGCTATGTAAATTAATTGACAGCTAATTCTGAGTGCTTTGTACTTTTCACAATTGCTTTAGTTGTAATTGAAGCTTTTGATGCTGACCTGAAGAGGAAATATTTTATAATAAGACAGTAATTATCATTAAATATTGATTGAGAATCCATTTGATACCATGCACTGTGATGGGCATTAATATTAAAAAGAATATAATTTTATAACAGAAGCCCCATCCTGTATATCCTCATAGCTTAGAGGTGGCCATTGTTATTTTGTTTTAACTTTTGGAAACTTCTGAACTTAAACACCAAATAAAATGAGTATTTCTACATACAAAGTAGACTAGAAAAAGATTGCACATGAAACTAAATCTCTATTATATACAGCTTGTTTTTCCTTCTAAGTATATAATAAATTCAACGTGTTAACTTTCTAAGCTGACCTGATGTTATTGGTCCTCTTCGAGAACAAAGGACGAACAAGAACAACATGGCCTGTTGTCTTCTGTACATTTTAAAAAATTGTATCAGTGACCCTCTTCCCTTTCTTTTCCTTCAAAATTGGAAAAAAAAAAAAAAGAAAACCCTTGTAACAAATAGGCATAGTTAAGCAAAAAAAATCCTGACATTGGCAATGTCTAAAAAATGCATGTCTCATTTTGCACTTTGAATCATTACCTCCCTGCCAAGAAGTTGATAGCATAGTTCATCATCAGTCTTCTAGACCGAAGTTAGTAAACCAAGGCCAATGGGCCAACTATAGTCCATAACACATTTTATACGGCCAGTGAGCTAAGAATAGTTTTTACATTTTAAAAAAAATGTAACTGACTTCTGCTGTAGGATCTTGTGGCCCCAGTTCTTAAAGGTTATGCCAAGGATCTAAAACCCAGTATGCTTCTTCAAACTGGAAAAAGCTTTGAATATGATTCTTGCAAAAGACTGTATCTAAAAGACTGACCACCAGCTAACACATATTTTCCTCCTCATAGTGA